ACCCTTCTTTCTCTGTCTCCAACCAACATTCTCTCACCATCCTCCAAATCCACTTCTTCCACTTAGCCTTCTCCCAGTTCGGCATCCGTTTGCTTCCATTCTGCACCAAAATTCCCACCATCTTCTCCACCAGCTTCTTAATCTTATTGGTTAACACTAAACAACGTCGATAGAACCGATGATTTCTCCCCTTCAGAAGAAGTAATGTTGGATTATTTGCTAGAGAGATGTAATAAATCATTAATGTTGACGACGGAACCAGTTATTTCGACAGATTCAATATGAAAACCAATAGATGTGGTGGTACATTTTAAGGAGGATGATTTTGATTCTGATGCCAAAGAAACTAATAAACCAGTCGCGGGTAATAATTACCTGTCAATCGATAAAAAAAAAGTTATTCAACAATATAAAATGATCTTAAAAACGAGATTAAAGATTAATTGAAAATTTTTAAAAGACATAATTGAAAATAGTTGGAAAAAAGAATTTTTTAAATTTATTGACACACTATTAGAAATGACTTAAAAAAAACAGTTGGACGATAGATTAATCAAGTTTGATAAAAAAACATAACTGATAAACTGTCAGATGTTGATTAGTAGACTGTAAATATTAAAAATTACTCAAATATAACATTACATTATATAATGATTAAAAATAAGTGATTCATATTGAAATAAGTAGTAACAAAATTAAATATTTTTTAATTATTTAAGTCTAACAAGCCTTTTTTTTCGGGCATAAATCATATTGGTAATATTACTCAAATGAAAAAAAAAATGTATGTTTCATAATACCAAACTGAAGAATCTGTGCTCTATGTAATTATCTAAATTTGGGTGGACAAAGATGCAAATAAGGGATTTAAAAGGACAAAAGAAACACATTTCTAATAACAAAAAAGTTGATATTTTAGCTGTTGTTTGTGACATTTTAATTATTAAAATATGAATTCAAACACCATAATTATTTAGCAAATAAAATCATAATTTGCATCGGAAATTAAATTCCTACACAACATTATAACATTTTTTTTTTATTAACCTGGATTTTCAACTCGTTATGCGAGCCGACTAATCTCAGAACGACCACATCCTTTATAGATATCCCGAAGTCATCGCATTTGAACCTCCGTGGCCACAAAGGGGTTTTTATTGCTCCATGAATTTAAACTTGAGACCTCCTGATACTTTTGACCTTTAGAACCAAACTCTAATTAATCACGCACCACCTTATGGTTCATTGTAACATAATTTTGATAACCAAGAGAACACGGACAGTGTCTCTCTGAACTTTCTCCTTCCTTTTTGAACTCTCATATTTGTCGGTCTCGAAGATACATTATACCAAACAGTAGTAGCATGGCAGTGAAAGAACCTCGCGAATTCCATGAATCACAAACCAATCACTGTTATACATGTCCGGGAATGTAATTGAAGGTGAATTGCACCACCAATTTCTATTAAGTTTGATCTTGAATCCGTCTAAATATGTATCAAAACTGGTTCCGTCATTGACATTAATGAGATCACTAAACGAAATCTTACAAGGCAACACATGCCGGAGAAACAGAGATGAATAATCGGGAAACCGTCCAGAATAATCAATCATCACTTCATCAACAGGGGAGAAAACAGTCAATGTAGGTTGATTGAGAAATCCTACCAATTGCAGATTGAGAAATGAAGCCATCACAGAGTATCCTCTAGATATCAACACGTTAGCAGCATTGTGAAACCAGAAATTACTATAACCTCCAAACGATGCAGTACAATGATCGAAGCTAGGGCTTTGTAGTGGAGTATCCGGTATGGTAAATTTTGGATCGAAAAAGTTCTCGATACCATAGACAATCAGCGATCCATCATCAAAAATCGGAGATCCAAGGATTTTGACATT